TTGGCTCGCAGTAATAGATACATAACCGCGGTAATACATGCACACGTATGATTTCTTCATGTTACGCTTTTTAATGAAATTTGTGCTTTCAGAGGTTCAATATTTCGAGAAAAATAAATATTCAAGTTAAAGAATAATAGGTATACAGCTGAAGTTGTTAATTCATTGGCGTAGAAGGTCTTATTTTCTCCGTCAAAGTTCGCCTTCATTGAGAAACCGCAGTAATATCTACGCTTATCCTATGTGCGCTCATTTCTCTCACGGATGTTTAAATTGTGCAATCTGGTGATTATAATATCTACAATCTGAAAGAAACGGAACAATATCTGGAACGAATACAGCATCGTTACATCATCGAACGAAACAATATCGGAAATAATACGCTGCGAAGAAAACAGCGATAGTTACGCTCCCGTAACATATTATGTACACGATACATATATGTACAATACGTACATGAACAATACATATATGAACAATACGTGTATGTAGTTAGTAGACTGCGCCCAGCCCAAGAAAATTTGACGGCATTTACGCTCGTGACTTGTGACCGATTGCAAAGGTTCGTGTGACGCAAGTCGGTAAAGTTGAAAGTGTCTTTTCTTTGACGATCGATGGTTACGCGAAGAAATGCCCCACGGTAATAATGACACAAAGATGCCGGCATACTCTCGGGAGGGGGTTCCGGTATCAAGGGACCACCAGGTGATTTCTCGGGACGAAAATCTTCTAAAGTTTAAGCCAAGGGCACGGTTCGTTAGCGCCATTGTGGCCGAGTCCAAATATTGTTGGATTCCTTTACGGACCTACAGGGAAGATTTCTACCTTCGATGACGTCATCATTTTCGAACTATTCTCGGGGATGGCGATTTTGTACGTGGGGGCGCACGGTGGTCTTATGTTCTATCTTTCTCGGTTTCCTTGAACGTCTCGACCGTCTCGTCCATCATTCGACCGTGGTTGTCTATCATGATTGATCAATTTTTATTTGACCGAGTAAACAATTTGATCTGTGCGCTCTTTCGCCACACGCGCGGATTTAAATCATTAGAATTACTTAGGATAATAATGTTTCAAATGTTTAATCCTTGCGTCGTACGTGCAAGAAGCGCATTGTTTAACACGTTCCGTGCCACGTGTACCATCGATGGTACACGCTTGCATGTTTACTTAGCGAACTGAACAAATTGTTTACAAGAAATTTAGAACCGAAGAATCAATTTCCACCGCAAGAATGGGCGTTGATAAGTTTTTGTTACGTTGTTATGTGTACGAGAATTAATAATTGCACGTAATACATCAAGTTTTAGTAAAATATCAAAGTGTGAAGATTCGAGTAAAAAAAGCTCGGCACGGAACGTGTTAACTTGTGATGTTCGCAACAAATTTGCGATCTACCATGATTTTTATTTAATTTAAAATATGCAAATATAAGTGGCGTGATCTGCTCAATGAACGAACACCTCCTACTGAATGATCATTTCTCGTACTATGATTTTGTTTGTACGATACCATTCGCTAAAGTATTCCTGTTCGTTCGTCAAAAATTATTGCTCAGTCGTTGGTCTCATAAAATCTTACATTACATTTTGAAAAAATCTACAGCTATTATAGAGTGCCAGAATTGTGTTCAAGGCTGTATGAATTTTATTTATACATGAATGCTAAGTTCGCTTACAATTAGCAGTAGAATAGCTCACTTATGGTAATATCATTCAAGGGATTGAATAGCGATTTGTGAACAATATCAATTTATCAAATATGCTGTTTAACACGTTGAGCACCGCGTCGGTTACATATGGGCGACACTAATTTTAGACCAATTTTGAAAATACATACCAAACTGAATTTAATTAGAATGTTTCAGATGCGAAGGAGTTCTAATGTCATCCACTATGATAAATTTTAACTTTCTAGTTTCGGTTTAATTAATTAAATTGCTTCGACTTTGTGGGAATTTTTTTTTAGTGGTTGATTGTCAGCGCTAAAGATGTGAAATGTTCGTTTACTGGACAGGTCACCCAAATAGAATCTGAGTGACATTCGCACGATACGAATATAAAGGATGTCCCAAAATTATGGTACGCGTCCGGGAAATCCTTTTGTTCTTTGATATTTCATCTCTGCGTTTTCGTTATAAATGCAAGAAATCCGCAGTCAAGTTATAAATTCCACGATTATCCAGCTACGTATTATAATTTTGTTTTAAAAATGTCCCAAAAGTGTTTTAAAAGTGTCCCAAAAATTACTCAAAATATGGGAAATGAGGGATTCCTGGAGTAACTTGAAGTAAATTTCTCCTTAGCGTAAATGCAGTGCGCGTCTTCGTCTATGAGTTATTAACAAAAAACACTGGCCAATAAGAGGCAAGCTCGGGTAGCGCAAGACAGCCGAACCAACGAGCAGACGCAGTATATTTCCGCGCATTGGCTCAGCCGCCTCGCGCCAGCCGATCTCGTCTCTCATTGGTCACCGTATCTCTTTAATAACTCGTAAACAAAGCCGCGGATTGCATTATCGCCGAGGAAAAAGTTACTTCAAATGACCTCAGGAACCCCTCATTTCCCGGAAGTACCATAATTCTGGGACACCCTGTATAATATAAAGTCATACAGATAATGTGAAAGGCGGACATTTCTTCTACTACATTTCCTCATTTCAGTCGGCACTGAAAGGATGAACGAAAAAATGAAGTTGCGAGAGTGATAGTTCGAACATTGTCTAGTCTAAATTCTGCAGTAGAATTTCAATAATCCGACATGTTCAGAATCGCGGCAATGTCTCATTATCAAACATACCGAATTATTGAACTATTGTCATGCGGTAGGAGCGAGGAAAATAATGTGTAATATGACCGTGGTTTTGGTACAGTAATATAATTCGTTATCAAAAATAATATAATACAATCGCTAATGGAAGTATCCGAGCGCGCATATACGACGACACGCTTTTACTAGAACGTAATGTGAAAATTCTCTCTTGGTTCTATAGATACCGAATTGTCTAAAACACTTGAATTTAAGACGCCTTATTTCGTATACCAAAAGTGTTCGAATACTTCTCACTTTATTCTGTATCCCATTCGGTTATCCGTTAGTAATTCAATTGGAAATATCGATTACAGGGTACTTACTACGGGGCGCGTTGAATCATCTGATGCCGGATTATCGGAATTTTCCCGTTACGAACAAACTGCGGATGTTTATGCACATTCACAGTGTTAATCGCCTCTTTGCAATAAAGAAAGGTTAAGCATTATTTGATCACCTGTGCTAATCACTCTATTATAATCATAACAGCACATGCATGTAACACTAAATATTCCGATCTTCATTTTACTATACTGGGTGTATCATTTATAACACTCTCACCTTAATATTTCTAATAAACTAGACGTGGTATAACAAAATGTTTCGAACGAAAGTTGTTTGATATAAAGAGGGTTATAGACGGAAATAATTAATATTTTGCTGTTTTCCTTTTTCTCTAAATTGTGAGGGTCACCTTGAGCTTTTTTTAACTATAATGTGCAACATTCAATCACATGTCGTTCGAGAATCTATTAAATAATTATTGAGAATAAAAAATTATTAAGGAACGAAGGTTCAGAAGTTAACGGCTATCGAGATATTATGCAGTCGATTTTTAATGCAACAAATGTTTAAAATGTGCAAGTGTTTCATATTTTCGTTAAGTAAGAGTTTTAGCATATTTTGATAAAAGAGAAAATTAGCAAAAAATTTATTGTTATCGAGTATACTCTTCTTTATACCGAACAGCTTTTGTTCGAAACATATTTTTATACAACTTGTACAAGAGAAATGAAAGAATTAAACGACTCACCCTGTATTTTGTGTATTAGAAATGACTACAGTGATAGCAAAAAAGTACCACTCCTATATTCAGGGTTTTGAAAATAATTAAGATACTGCATCAATTTGAATGAAAGTTGAAAGAAAGTTTGGAAGAATGACAGAGTTTCATGTATTTGAGCCGTCTATTTTGAAAGCGATCCGTAAGTTCATTTATATTGAAATTGAGATGTTTAAGAGTTGTGTTTAAAAGAAAATAAAAAATATATTATTATATTCTATTATTATATATATATTATATAATAAATTTACAATTACCACTAAAATAATAGCAATTATTATGTGAATAATATAATAATTTATAATATATATATATATATTAATTATTATATTATTATATATAATATATATAATATTATATTATATTATATTATTATATTATATTATATTATATTATTATATTATTATATTATTCACATAATAATTGCTATTATTTTAATAGTATAATTGTAAATTTATTATATAATATATATATAATAATATAATATAATAATATATACTGTAGCCAACAAAAGTGACTAACGGACTTAAGTCACTTTCAGAATATACGGCTCGTTTCTTCTAAGTCAAAAAACTCAATTACATTGAAGGTTCTCCAAGGTGAAGATATTGAAAGTTTTCAGACTGTCGAAGCAAACGCCCGATACGAGTAAATGTCCTTAATTCTTCATTTCCAATATTCAACAAATCTGACAAATATTCCTGACCGGCATGTAAATGCATAAACACCCGTAGTCAGTTAACAGTTTAGCGACCGCTGACATGACAGTTGTGACGTCAACGGCCGCTGGTACAACATGTGTATCCTGCGCAGCGTATTCAGGAAAAGTCGCTACGCAAGGAGTGGGGGCAGCCGACGCATGCGCGAGAGTCCCACGCAGCGGCGTGACGCGTACATAGGATTGCATCTATTGCATTGTATTGTGCCTGCACCTATGTCGTCGCGTCACGTCGCTATCGTAATTCAGAATTACAATGCTCACTCGGTAGACGCGCGGCGCCGCTGTGCGGGACTCCCTCCGCATGCCGTTCGGTACCAGTATCGGTGGTACAAACTATTAGCTATTTTCGACTGTGAACGAGTACGAAATTGCAATTTACCTTGACAATATAATAATGAACTTAAAATTTCAATATTTGTGAAGTTTACTTGACAGTTGATCGCTGATTTGCAAACTATAATTCAATTATAATTTTGTTTATTTGTAAAATAGCAATTTAATTCAGGATAAAACGTCGACTCTCCATGAAGGTTTTTCACAAAGCCGCGCGGCCTGTAAAGTGTTAACAATCTCGATTCCGCGGCAAGAAACGTGTAGAATCGATGAAATCTTCGATCCACCGGTCCGATATCTCGGCGTCGAAAATAATTTCTAATTGACCTTGCGATCGTTACTGCGATCGTTGGTATTGTTATCCTTGTCGAATTTATCGAGCATGTCCAATCGGAGGAACGAGCCGACTATGGAGCGAGCGGTGGACACGGTCCGACCGATGCCGCCTTCCATCGAACTCGTGCCGCTGCTTTTCGAGATTTTAACGGGTTTCGTCTCCGCCCAAATGTTCACAGCGAATTTCAATTCCGCTACCAGCGCTTCCCATGGAGTGACCTGCAAGAACGCCGACGAAAAATGGTTTCGTGTCTGGGCACCGCTTAATTAAATCAACGTCGTTTACTATGCCCGCGCGTTTCAACGTCACAATGAACCTTCCCTTCGACTTCGTCCTTTTTCATTATCGTCCGAAAGAATCGCTGCAAGTCCTTCCTCGGGTCCCGACCCCCGGCCTCTTCCGCTCCTTCCTTTCTTTCGCGGAATCGCGTGTACGCCGAAATTCTTTTGCAGAAAAAACGAAACCGTTCCGGCTCTACGGATTTATGGGAATCGCGGATTTAATGGGCTGCATACACGTAGACTTTATTACACCGAAGTGCCACCTTACGATACTATTAGCGTGGCCCAGGGAATGTTCCGTCACTGAACTTTTATCCGGTGCAACTAGACTATGGATCTCTATGCGAAATTGGAATTTTACAAAGCAGTTTCAAGAGCAAGAATTTAGATGCAACGTGTTTCTCTTTTTCAATCCTTCTACGGTGTTCATAAAAACTTGCACGAAGCTGTGTTATAATACAATGTTTTTAAACTTATTTTATCAAAGGATGTAATAATTCATGGACTGCGGATCGTTATGCGAGATTTTCAAAGACTATTGTACGGAACAGGAAATAAATGAAAATAAATCGTTTCATTTAATAATCCTGATAAGTTGAAAGTGACATAATCAAATTATCATGTCTTCACGATTTTATGTTTCAGCCACTTGTTTTTGCCATAAATGCATGAGATCCGCAGTCTAATAATTGACATAAAAATAAAGAAGGAAGTAAAAATTTATTAATTCAAGAAGCTAAGCGAAGTCAATAAATTTTACTCCAAGAAAGGTAGCAATTAAAA